GGGGAGGCTGCGCCGCAGTGAGCGGGGCTGTGCCGCTCTCGCCCTAGGTAGGATGGACCTGCCCCCCTGCCTCTGCCCCCATGTCCAATAAGAAGAGACCCGGCTTGACACCTGCCTATATACAGAGGAGGAGAGCAACATCTTCAGCGCTGGGCTTTGGAGGGGGGGGACCAACCCAAAACACAACACAGCATCAGGGCAGAGCGGGGGGCTCGGTGGTGTTATAAAACCCCCCCAAGACTATGACTTCCAGTAAAATTGAGATGCCAGGGGAGGTGAAGGCAGATCCTGCTGCTCTGATGGCATCTCTGCATCTGCTGCCTTCTCCCACTCTCAACCTTGAAATCAAATACACCAAGGTAAGTTGTGTTTGTTTGTTCTGGCAGAGAAATTCATGGTTTTCTCTCCAAAGGAGGGATTTTGCTTAAAATCAGTTTCATTCTGCCCTACCCAACGTGAGTGTAGAGATATTAAAAAAACAACTGCTAAAAGACTGCCTTGGATCTGTAATAAAGGAAAAAGATTTTTCGCCCTGTAATCATATGAAAAACCACAGGATAATAGCAAATTATATCTGGCTTTGCCAATTTTCTGAAAATGTACTGTTTTCTACAGAGCCGTTGGGGTTTATTTTCAGTGCAAAATCAGTAGTTCTCGGGTATGTTTTGGTGGCTTTTGATGTACTTCACAGGACATTACTATACATACCTGAGTATCTCAATCAGAAAAAAAAACCTGTTTTCTTTCTTGAATTACCCTGTGTGCCCAAGGGACTCTTTTACATTTCCTGGAGGACTCTTAATACTACCAGGTTCTTACAGCACTGGAACAGGTCTCCACGAACTTCTGTGATTCTTGAATACACCCTTGAACAATATTGCGAGAGGGCATGTTTTCCTACAAACCTCTAAAGAGTGATTTTCATAGAGAGAGGGTTAAGAACAAACCCACTGTAGAAATTTAGAAAAATCTGCTGGGTTTTTGTTGTGTCTTATGAGACTAAATTGGTTTTGTTGATTAAAATGGGCTTTAAAAACAGTCATTTGTTTGTGAATGCATTATACATTTTAAAATTCGTTTATATATTTTTAATCTTTGCATCTTCAGTATCTTTAAAGAATGTTTTAATTTCTGTTGGAGAGGTTTCAGATCTATTGTATAAACAGATTACAATGTGTCAGACTTTGTTTCTAATTACCAAGTAACTTAATAGGAAAATAAGCACATCAGCACTGGAAAAAGGTGATAACATTTTTATCTACTGGAAATACAACTTCAGGAGCTTTAATGCTGATAGGAGACTCATTTTGGCCGATGTAGTGTAATTTTTTCTTCCATATCATCACTTCAAAAGCTTTTCATCTTTTCTCTTTTTTTTAGTGAGTGCCAAAATTAATTTGTCTTCTAATTTGTTACAGCAATTCCTTGTTCTAGAAGAATGTTTCAGAGGAAAGTCAACTATTTTAAATTTCATTGCATTTTAATGCAAACTGCAGTATGCAAATCTAAAAATGCATATGGTTTCTTGGTCATCAATTCTTTTAATATAGTTAAATAAGTACGGAATGCAATTATTGGATGCTGTGTAGTGCTACACCTTGGGAGCAATCATACTCTGCAAAGAGTATTTGGCATGAATTTTGTTCATTGCTGGTTTCAGTGTGAGCTGTGCTTCAGGAGGGTTTCGTGGGAAATACTTGGGAGCAGTATCACAGCCAGTTTGCATCATAAATGTAATGCATTTCTCTGTCCTAAAACTGGAGAATTGTTTCTAAAAACCTTTGAAAAGGACAGCAGTCATCAGCAATCATAGCTTTCTTTCTGTGAGAATGTACAGTGACCTTTAATAAATCAATACATAATTCCATCATCTCAGATCTAAAATGTTATACATTTTATATTAAGGGAACAATTAAAAGAAAGTTATTTCATTTCAATATTAAGCCAAAACCAACAGCAACGTGTTTCTTCTAAGCTCGGATATCAGGTAACTCCTGGTTGCTTTTGAGAAAATTTTGGTTTAGGACAGGTATCAAATGTTTCACTTGGCATATCCTCTGTCTCTGTTTTTCTGTCTGTCTCGCTCTTTCCTCCTTTTTCTCTTTCTCTGCAGGAAATTCAAGTGATTTATAGATAATTGGAGTCTTCAGCTTGGAGTTTTGTCTTGGGCAGGACTTTTATCCTGGATCCACTTTCCCACCTATTACAAAGAAAAACAATCAAAAAATGAAATAATGGACTGTAACTTGATTCTTTATTTTGAGGGAGTGGTCACTTCATGTCCTAAATGACAAACAACTTCCATAAACAATAAATAACATTAGACTAAAGCACTTTAGCAAGGAAAAAAAAAAAAGAAAACAACCCCAGACCTTGTAAAATCAGACATCTGTAAGCATTCCTAGCAGTCTCTCTCCTGCTTGTTAGCTGGGAATTTTAAATACACAACCAGGACACAGAATTCTTGAACTCTTTATTACAGGTGCCTATGAATGTAAAAACATAACCATTTGGGAGTTAATTCTTTATGAAAAATAGAAGTATCTATGAATATTTAAACTTAGTGAAAAATTTTAAATATATTTTGCCAATTAAATTCTATTTCTGTAATTCTAAAGTTGGTTAATAGACAGGCTCTTTAGGGTAGAACATGTTAAAATTCCAGGATTCCCTAAGTGAGTTTTGTTAAAGATTTGTAATATGTACTGGGAAAAAGAAAATTACTAATTAATCTTTTAATAACTGCATTACCCTTGGGTTGCTATGAAAACTACTTCCAGCTACATAGATGAAACAAATATCACCTGTGTAATTCTCATTTATTCGATTATTTAGCAGAATTATTAAATCTTGTGAAGTATTACT